CATTACTGTCATAGGAATCTACAGCTTTGTACAGTGTAAGTGAAGAAATACAGCTACAATGTAAATAAGAAATGAAAGAAAAGGGGGAAAAATGCATTTCAGCCATTGTATGCCACCCTTGCTCATGTTCATGCTGACACTGATATCCAAAAATAAATACCTGAAGCATGCAGTGCTGGTGAAATATCTACTATCCGTTAATTTGTGTTTCTCTCTCATGTAATGCTGCATTAAAAACTCAGAGGCTTCAGGTTGCAGTGTGCCAAAAAATGAAACATTGTAAAATCTCAATTTTGGAATAGTACATTTCTAAAAAATAAAAAAAGAGAAAGAAGAAAAACTAGATTTACATAATTTGGCTTTATTGAACATATTAATATATACAATGCTGTGGGAAAAGTGAGTTTACCACCAGGCTTTGCAGACCTGAAACTGCATATATTGTTGTCTTTTGCATCAAAAACTGGCCTTTTGTATGGCAATAAATTTGTTCAGGAGAAAAGTTCTGAAGATAAATAAATGTAAATGGGAAAATGTAAAACCTGCCACTGTTTATTTAAACAGGCAAAATGATTAATACAACTGATCATCAAGCAGGGTCATAGAATAGGAATGCAAACTTATATAAATATCTAATTATGCTCACAAAAAATTCACAGAAAATAGAGAATTCATTGTCTTTTAAGTGGTGTCCATAATCTTTAGGCAAATAACAGTGTAAAAAATATGAGACATGGATTAACACTGGCAAAGTCAAAGAATTAACAAAGTACATGCCTGAAGACTTAAAAAACTGAAGTAAAACATTAGCTTTGCGGTCAAATTCACCACAATAATATTTTTCCATTACTGAAGTTCACAACCGTCTACGATCATAGACCACAAGGAAGACATGCAAGTGAAGTTCTTGCAGTGGCGTGGAGCTGAGCAGCTAGGCTTGGGTCACAGGGCAGATGGTTTGGTCTACTAATAAAAGCAAACATGCTCAGTCATGTGGAAAGAGTACGCTCACTCACACACAAAACATATGTCAATTCTTTCTGCTTTTAATTTCTGTTTGGGTCTCTCACTACAGGTGACTCAGCAGCTTGGAGGCCTCATTGGGTCTGAGCCATCAGTCCAGTAGAAATTAAAGTTCACAGTCCATGAGGTTTTCTTATTGTACAACCTGATGTATGGGGCATAACAGGGCAAAGTGCTCTAATTTCCTCACCTCCTGCCCCAAACACAGAGTGGAGGAGGGTGAAATAATAAACAGAAGAATCAGAATTCATACAGGCTGACAAAATTATTTCTTTTGAGCTTTTGGTGATACATTGATGAAAAAGATCCAAGCAACTGGAGACCTTATTTTATGCAAATCTAAGCAAACATATATCTATTGTTGCACTTACTTTGAGTGTAAAGCTACAGAATAAATATTACAGGAACACACACACACACACACACACACATATATATATATATATATATATTGCATTTTTGAAGTCAGGGTGATTGAAATTATAATGATAGTCACCTTAACTATTGCCAAAAATGTAATTTAAGAGTTATATTGTAGAAAATGTAGAAATCCTAAGAACAATGGAGTGCTAAGAGTTAGTCAGAAGGGCAATCTTGGTTTAGCACTTTAACACAATTCAAATGAAAAAAATGTTCATAATCGTGGGATACATGGTATGTTAAAGGATATGCACTTTCTGCAGTTTTACAAGAGACCTTTTTAAAGTTTGCTTGTTTTTTCAGCCAAAGAATGTTTGTGTTTCAGCATGTTGTTTCCTTGGTGGAGACTGCCTGCTGCATCAATCTGCCTGGTCAGCTCAAATTATTTCTAAACAACTAGAGACCTGAAAAAGCGCAAGAATGAACCACCTTTGATGCTGCTGGACAAAATAGTGCCTAAAGAAAAATCCACCCATTTTTCTGGGCTCGTGGTGGAATGATAAGTCATACATTTTTATATTAGCAGAGACTTTATTTGGGTGAGCAAACAGTGGCGAACTTAACAAATGTCGCTTAGCGAAATCTAATTAAATAGTTAATATTCATTTCTAACAAGTTGTATCCCATAAAGTATATTATATTAATTTGTTTTAAATATAATCTACTTAAACCAGAGGTCAGTCTGACTAGCTTAAGTCTTCCACCAGTCTAAGGATTGGTTTACGACAAATTCACAGCAATATGGCATTTTTTGTCCACAGTTAAGGAAACTATTATTGATAACTCCATAGAACATTTCCACAAAAAAAACATCCAATCAGGTCTATTTCTTGGACATGTAAAAAATAATCTTGGCCAGGGCATGTTGGTGCATTTTTTATTCACAATCTTTAGTATAATTTTCTTCAAATATGCAAAATTTTATTCTTGCCTTGGTCAAAAAATATTACATAAAACAGTCTGTAATCCTTGGCAGCATATGAATTTTTGCATTAAAGAATATGTTGTTTGATGTGTTTTAGATTCTAGTCTTCCATTTGTTATAAAATCTTTAAATTTGTTAAAATATGGCAGTGTAGAATCTTGCATATTTTTTTTTTTGTTTGCTCCTGCATTGTTGTTCTGATTGATCATTGTAGAGAATCAAAGTTGTTTCATGCTGGTTTACAAATCAGAAAAAAATCTCATATAAAATACAAGAAAAATATTCATACAAGTAGAAAAATACCAATTTAAACTTGTTTTATAAATAAAACTGGATTTTTATTCCAACCAAAACTGAATTGAGCTCTTGTGATGCACATTTTCATGACTGCCATGAAATCCTTTCAAAGTATTATGTTGCTTTGCGTTGCTTGTTGTTTTTTTATGTTTTGCATTTGACGGGTGGCTCTGCTAATAAGAGACATGTTTAATGAGAACATATTTCTGGATAATAGATGAAAAGTCAAAGTAAACACACCATGTTTATTTTTAGACACCTCATAGCTTTATCATGTCAGCCTCTTTTTAAAAAGCAAGCTGTGGAAAATCGTATTTGTATCCATGCAAGGATTATAAATGAATATGTTTTGTATAAATGATGATGATACATTTAACATTTTATTTTTTGCAGTATTTTCATTGAGAATCCCAAGAAATGGTTGTCATCTGGAGAAATAATTGGAAACCAGTGAAAAAATCCATTAACTTTAATTAAAATACAACAATAAATCCTAGTGAGGAAAGAGTTGTTGCCAGGCTTCGTAGCATATGAGATGGCAGCTATGAAAATGGTAGTTGAACTTTACTAGATAAACTTTTCTTTTCTTTTCTCTTTTGTCAAAGGCAAAGCCCCGTTTTGGCAGCTTTATAACAATTATGGTGTTAGGGAATGATTTAATGAGACCTAAGAAAGACTGCAGAGCGCTAGACAAGTGCAGCACAGTGACACATTCACAGAAAGAGGTGTTAATTAAAGACTGAAGATTAGACTTTCCCCCCCCAGATCTATAAGGTAAAATTCTGATTTTGACTGAAATGTGTTTTTTAGATTCACAATCACACCTGTTCAATAAATAATAAAGCTATGACAGAGAAGAAGGATTAGATATAGATACAAAATGTGACAAAACTGATTTATACGGCACTATATGAATACATTTATTCATATACACGGCCAAGTCAGTCCATCTAAAAATCTAATTATTTATCATGTTTATATTCTCAACCTTTACTGTCCATGCCTGTTTATTTATAGTATTGAAGAGGTAAAAAAAGGTAACTATTCAATTCAAGTTCAGCTGCAGACATTAATTCATGCCTATAAAGTATCTGTATGTAACAAATATGAGACATGATATACAGCACCTTACAAAACTATTCATACCCCTTCCACTTTTTCAAATTTTGTCATGTTCACATTAAAAAAAATCAATATTTTAATTAAAAACATAACAAAGCAATGCAAAATTGTGATGTTAGGGGAAAGTGACAGATAATTTTAAGTTATTTTACAAATAAATATAAACAAAAATGTATTTTACTTCTGCACTGGGTATGTTTTACAATAACAGATTTAACTAAAGAGTTTACATTTATTTTTACAGTCACTCCCCAACCAACCTCAGTAAGCTTAAACTACCTTTGAAAGAATGAGAAATCATTTCACTCACTACATGTGCAAAGCTTGTAAAGTACCTCAAAAGTCTTGTAGTAGTAATTTCAATGGAAGGTGGTTCTACAAAATATTGATTTAAGAGGATTAATACACACACATGCTACTGTTGCCAGATTCTTACTTGTAAAACTACTGAAAACTATTTGTTTTCTTCCCACCTCACATTTATGCATTACTGTCAATCACATGACAGTTTGTGGTTGAAACGTGACATAATGTGAAAATGGTCAAGTGGTGTGAATGTTGTTACAAGGCACTACAAAGAAAAAGAAATTGTGGGAAAAAAATGACTTTTTTGAACGTTCATTTTAGAGCCCGTAATGTTTTTGTAGAATGGAAATGTTTTCCACTTGCATGTGCAGGTTGGACTCGATTGTGTGCCATGCCAACAACGTTACTGAACACATCATGTAAACTCTTTGAAGATTTTGCTTTGGATCCTCCTTAGTCTTTGAGCTGAGGGATATTAAGCCAACAAACACAAAAACAGTGTTAAGGGAGAGAATAAAAGAAACAAAGACTTGACAGAACTGGGAGGAAAAAAAGTTTTTGCCAGATGCAATGAATTCAGTCAGAAGTACATTCTTACAATCACTTTCCTTCTAATCATAATGGAAGGGATTATACACACACACACATATATATATATATATATATATATATATATATATATATATATATATATATATATATATATATATATATATATATATATATATATATATATAAACACTTGTAAAAAAGTGCATGGATATTTGACATAGAAAAAAGTAAACGAATACATCCAACAGAGAAACCCTTTGTGGTTGGTTTATGCTTTTTCAGTGAAATTTATTTAATCTTATTTCTTGTCCCATCAAATTTGGCAAAGCACACAAGACAGATGTGCACATTAAAATTGTTTTAACATATAACAATTTATTTTTATGTTAACATGAAACAAATGAAATAAAAAAGAAAAAAGAAAAGTGAGAGTAGCTGTTGTTTGAAATGGATCCAGTACTTGTGGCCCCACATGGCTTTGAGCTCCATGGTCAAGTTGGCAATTGGAATTGGTACATCTGTTCTCAAAAGACTTATGTTCCATGGGAGTACTTAAAAGGAAATAGAATGCACTGAGGCTGCATAAAAGAGTGCTTGGCAAGCGTCTGTTACCTATTTTAATGTGTGAAGAAGCAGAACATTGGTATGTGTGAGTGCATCTGCGTGTGTGTTGATTGTTCAGGTATTTCTATTCTCCAGGAAGACATAATCTTAGACAGTATCCCTGCAAGACAAAAAGAACAGGAAGCAAGGTTGAATCAGTGGAAAAAACGTCAATCTGCGTGTATTCAGAGGGTAGATAAATTTCAAATTTCATCACATTTAAACATATTGCTTTATGCATAAATACTCCTACACATGCACACCTACTCCATTTTATATCCATCCACATCTGCCTGTACACAGGAACAAATGCACATGGGTATGATGTAACAGCTTTTTCTGGCTCGCTCTTGCGGGCGAAGGCTTGCTCACATTTTAAGTCTGAATTTGAAATCTGATCTTTTTCAGTTTCTAACTTCTTCAGTGTTGTCCACGTAGACTGTCTGAAACTCATGGGGGAACCTCAGCCAGGTATTTCACACCTCCACCTCCTCAACCTGATGTGTTAAAGCTGGAGACACTTTTGACAGCACTGAGAGCCATTTTCAGCTTGAGAGCTCACATGGCCAGTGGCAAAAACAGAAATACTGACAGCTTTCTGCATAGCTTTGGTTGCAAAAGAAGGAAGGGGGTTCTGGTGGGGGATTTTAAAAACCATATGTATTGTAATACAGTTAGTGAATAAGCAATTTTAATGTAACACTGGGTTGATAATTTACGTTCTAGACCCATTATTAGCACTTTATTACAGGTACATAAAGTCATGATTTCAGTTCAGATACAGCTGCAGTTGAAACCAGACATTTACATACAACACATCAAAAGACAGAACATTATTTTCTCACTATGATATGTAATCAGATCAAACCTTCATCTTTTGTCAGTTAGGATCAAATTATTTATATTTGCTAAATGCCTGAATAATGAAAGTTGTTTTTAAATATTCATCAACTTCAGAGGTTTTCACCCACAGAGTGGATATAGGTTCAGATTTGGGTCGAGTACCCAGAAATTAAATTATAAAGCAGTCATCCAAGGAGTTACTTGAGTAAAAATAATAAAGAAAAGTATTTCATAAAAAGATTACTCAAGTACAAACAATTATATGCAAATGTATTCATATTCATAAATCCAGAATAGAATCTCTCGATAATCAAACTACCCATAAGTTTTTCAACTGATTTGTTTTGCTCATTATATTATTTATTTGAGTCTGAGAAATATCCAGACTCAAGCATTGGTTGCTATAAACCTCCAGCAGAGCTTTCTGAGGGCTGGAATGAAAATCAAAGAAAAAACCCGAGTCGCAGGAATACTGCATTGATTTGCAGAGCTTCTGAAAATTTACCACAGAAACGTTTGTTGCTTAGAACAAAGGAAAGAAAGCAAAGCTCCACATTCAACAAACTATCTTATCTCAGCCTGCTCTAACTTCTTAAGTGTTTACTTTAAAAAGACACTGTGTGGATTTTAAGGGCATTACATTATGTTAAAATATTAAATAGGCAAAGGGAAAAAAATGAAATGGATGCTTCTTTACACTAACAGTTTGGAAGGAAGAAGAGCCTGTTTTCACTGTAAACAGATTTTTTTTTCATATTGCAAAAATGTTGGGCAGGTGTTCAAACTTTACTTATAATGTTGGCGTGTGAGCGCCCTGCTAACTGATTATGTTTGTATTAGCCAAGCATCCTGATTGCATTCAGTAACTCAGCTCAAAACATTGTATCTTAATAGATTTTGAACTTCTGCAAGCCAGGTAGGATGACCTCATCTAGGTGGGGAATGGATAGCATAATAAATATAAATATGGTTTGTAAAAAATACATAAAATGGAAATTTCTCATTTAAGATCATGCAACAATCCTGGAACTAAATAAAAGGAATAATTACACCCATCCATACACTTGTGTACAAAACTCATACAGATCCCCAAACATGGACATATTTCTGCATACACAAACAAATCTATATAAAATCCTTAAAAATGATGTTTGGGATGTACAAAGTTTAACCTTGTTGTAAAAGAGGGGATTAAAATAGTCTAAATCATCCATTTTTCACCCACTGAAAAGACGTTTGCATAGAAAAGAACATGCTGAAAACATGCTGACAGTAAACGAGATGTAGAATCGAAGTGTAAAAAGGAAAACGTTTGTGTGATTTACTTAATTTACTTAAATATCTGGACTTATACAGAGTTAAGCAAAGATAAAATTGGTTCAAAATGACCCTGAATTAACTTGGTATGTTGACTCTTATGACAAGCAGAAGCTTTTTGGATAATGAATAAATACAGTCATTTATGGTGTTTCTGAATGTGAAATATTTCTGACATATTTGATGTTTGAACAATAAATGATCATCCAATAAAATGTTTTCGGTTGTTATGTGATAAATATGGGTATTGGAAAAAAAGTCATAATGTTGTTGAAATGTGAGAAGAACATTGCAAATGCACAAACATGTCAGTCTAATTGTTGGTATAATAAAGCTTTTTGTGATATGTCTCTGTTTTTGAGTCTAAAAGGTTTTACATTTCATGTTAACAATGACCTGCATTGACAACAGTTATTGCTTGATTTTGCTGTCCTGATATGTTAGTTGTGTTCATTCACTAAGATGTTTTATACAACTGGTAAAAAAAAAACCTCACAAATAAACATACAGTCCCACATAAATGATATTTATATTTGCTTTAGAGGGGCTGGACGGTGAATAGAGAATATTGGGTGTTGGGGGGTGGAGGGTGGATCACTCTGCTTAGGCTGACTTGTTTCATCAAGAAGGGAGGCAGAGCACAGGCAGTGCTTTGTAATAGAAAAGAGAGGTGTGAGGGTGGGGGAGTGACAGGTAGAAAGAGTGTGTTTGAAAGAATAATACTTATATTAAGTAAGATATAGAGACAGCAATTAGTGCAAAGACTGTCTGAAACAGAGCATTTTGTCCTCGGGTCAAAATGACCCATCTTTACAATGTTGACAACAGGAGGGTTAAGTGATCAAAGGAAGATAGAAATACTGTGCCTTAGAAAAATGTCTCTGGCGTGATGGACTCACAGGAAAACATGTAACCACAGGTAGGTGAGAGAAAAATGCATGCATGCAAGAAGAGACAAACTAGGTGAAAGCAGTGGTAGCAATTCCCACAAGGCCCCAAAGAGAAACAATATAGATAGAGGGTCACTACTTCTATCATTCTTCTTTGCCCTCCGTCTGAGTGGCCTGTAATCGAGTGATTATTACACCAAAGTTATGGCAATGGCCCCGCAGTCAAAAATAGGAATTGAGTTGGAAACAGCATTTAGGGATTTTGATTTATGAGCAACAATGGGGAAGTTGTTTTTCAAGCCTAGCACTATGATGGCCAATAAAGAAGAGTAAGGCTTATCGTCCGCTGTTACCACACTCCAGCCAGCCTGCCAGGCAGCTAGCAAACAGTCAGCCAACCAGCTGGGGCCCCTCATGGAAGGAAGCGTTTTCAGCCAATTTGTTTCCTTCATGTCTCGCCCTGAATGGTGCTATTCATTAAAATAGCCCGCAGTCGGTAGACACTGCTGCTTTAGCACATTTATACACTTCTGTGCCTGAATCCTCCTCAGAAATACTCACAGAAATCCACCTGCACACACACAAAGAGAAAATCTTTTTTTCTGTACCCAGTCATCTATACAGGGGGTTTGATGGGAGCGTATGCTATTAGAAAGGCTAAACATACGTAGCTTGACAGGGCTCTGGTGTATGCAGTGCTGTTTTCTCATTTTTTACTCAAAATGTGTACATGCTTTCGAGGACTGAAAAATGTCCCTGGAGTTACCAGATGAGATGTGCAGCCATGTGTTGGTAGCTTTGCAGTTGTGCCAGATTTTACTCTTATTCGGATGATGAATTGAACAATGATCTTGAAGATACTGAAATCTTGGGATATTCCTTACAACCCAACCCTCCTTAAAACTTCACAACTTCATCCTTGACCTGTTGCTTGTCCACCAGGATGCTCTTTGGTTTGCTCCAACAAACCTTTGCAGTTTTGCAGTTGTTCACAAAACCAAACTGAAGAGCTTGAAGACATGAGGAAGATAAAACATGGAACCATCTTGATAGAATCGAAATGAACAATGAAACTTAGGAGATTAAATACCAAGGAAGAATGATAGTAACATAAAAACAATTCAACAAATCAATCAGGGAAATTCAGAATGGATGCAACAAACACACAAACAGAACTGAACAAAACACAAAACGGATACAGCAGTTAAGAGTTAAAAATGTATGAAATATCAATCTAAATCAGAATACACAATACACAGGATTCTCTTCCCATATGTTCTTGTCTTTTGTTCATATTTTCAAGCACTTTTCCATTTACATACTCTAGTATGTTTTTTCCTAGTTTATGTCTGCTATCAATTTCCACAACAACAAAAAAAAAGTAATCACTGTAATCATCCAGTCTGTTTGAAACGTCTCTCAGGATTACAATTCCTATCAATTTTTAGAAACATTTAAGAATCCCTAAGAGTGTTAGCCACACAGATCTATCCTGATGCCTGCCAACACTGTCATGTCCTCTGACTTGTCTCAGCTCTTGCCTTGAGGGCTTTTCCCTTTTTAGAGGAGGAGCAAAGCAGGGAATGAAAGGATTTAAACCCACACAGCTGAAGCATCCAGAGTTGGGAGTGAGGATGCACAACCAGACATACACATCTGTTCATATTATGAAGTTGAAGCAAATCAAACAAAATTATGCATGCGCACATACACAAACACTCAAGAGTTCATAAACTGAACTTCATCCTTTAACTAGTCTACCTCTCAGCATCTTGTCAAAGTGTCAAACCAAGAAGGATTTCTAGAGATGATGTAAGATAGTAACATCCATCTTTTGCTGCCATCAAAACACTTAAAAAACCCCATTATATTTAGGAACAGATGCTTGGAACAGCATCTGTTGGTTACACACATGGAAACCTGTATTTCAGAGAGAGCACTTGTGAAAACATTTAAGAACTATTTTTTATCAGCCTTTACAAGTTGTTTAGATCACCAGCAGGCAATTCTGAGGCTCAGATTGCATTATGTTTTCGGTGGTAACCATACATCATATAAACTGTGATATCAAATGGTTCAACAGAGCAGAAGCAGAGTTATTATCCTGTTTTAACTAAAGCAGCTCCACCAAGGCTGCCTTTAATCACTGATCTTGTTTGTGCTGTTCATGGACACAATCTCAAGTCCTACTAATGAAGAAATGGGTGACTGGTTTGAGAGACTCGGGGCTCACGGTTGCATCATTGCTTTTTGCACATGGTATGATTCTGTTTGACCCCTCAAGCTGCTGACTCTGAAGGGGATCCAATGAGATTCTACACCTCAAAGTCCAAACAGGGAGGACTCCATGTCTGGGGTCAGTATGTGTCTGAAGCACCGGAGTTTACTTCAGCTGCAGTAAAGTGGGCTCTGCTCTGGTGTGCTGTGGTGAAGAGAGCTGAAGCATGAAAAGAAGCTATTGATTTACCAGTGTGTTTTTGTTCAAGCCTGCACCACCTGTGGTAATAAGCTATGTATCAAGCCTGAAAAAATGAGATCATAGGTAGAAGCAGATAAAATAAGTTTCCTCCATTGGGTATTGAGGCTAACCCTGAGAGATTATCTGAGGAATCCTATCATAACGGGGAAGTGTGGAGTGGATCATCGAAAGGAATTGGCCAAGGTGATCCAGGCATTTGATAAGATCAATTACGCTTTCACATGCAAAAACGTGCTCTTTATTGGCCTCCTAAACGATTACTGCCTCTCTAAGGGTCAGCAGGCTCTGTATCAACCTGGGATCGATCGGTCTTGACTTGCTGTGAAGGGTAACTAATCAGATGTTGGGATCTGTTGGTAAGCCAATGACAGTTTTAATTATTTCATAATTAATTTATTGAATGCTCAAATACTTCTAATTCAACTGATCTTTTAATGAATTACTGTCACATATAATCAATTTATGATGTATTAAAAATGTGTTTTTATTTCAGTTTGAAATGATTTAACATATTTAAGTGTTTATTGGTGTAAATAGCCATATCTTGCACTTATTTGTTTATTCTTTTAATTTGTCCTTCAATAGAAACTACTTAGAGCATTAAAATCTGATGATCCATTCTATTTAATATTGAAAGCCAGCATTTGATGTTATTATTGATCCATTGTTCTGTTGCTCTGTCTCACTTTGTTCTCCCCCATCACACTGTTTTGTACAGGTTTACTCATTCTGAAAGTGTTTCTGCTGGCTTCTGTACATATCTGCTGTTATACAGTTTTTATTGTCATTTATATTGTTCTTTATTCTGTTTTTATATATTGTTGTGAACCTACTTGCTTTGATTCCCTGTCACGTTGCTGCTGCTGTTGCACATGAATTTACCCATTGTGGGGCAATAAAAGATATTTCTATTATGCTCAGTTGTTTCTTCTTCTATTCCCATTACCTCAACCACTGAGGCATCCTGGACTCCTTCCATAATTGACTTGGCTGCATGTTCACTCTAATTAAAAACATTTTACATTGTCTTATATTCATTTCAAATTATTACTTTTTTCTTTAGCTAACAGTTACGTAAATTCCTTGTTAACTGATGCAATATAATTAAAAGCAAATGACTGAAATAAACATTTATTTTACAGGAACTTGGTTTTGTCACCAAAAGAAAAGAAAGTCTTCATGATGTGATTGTCCAAATATCCTATTATGATGATTTGGTCAGCAGGACATCTGCAGACAGGTGATGGACGGTGGAATGAAAGATTTAATAAAGAAAAATTTAAATACAAGAGAAAACACAAAGAGACTGGGAGTCTTTAAGTCTTTAAGGTTTGCCACAAATCATGTAAAAGACAGAATGGACATGTGAAAGAAGGTGGTGAAATGAGACTAGAATATAACTTTTAGGCCCTCATGCGTAACACATTGCATCACCCTAAACACCAACCCCTTCATTAAAACATGGTGGTGACAGCATGATGGTGTGGGGATTATGTTCTTCAGCAGGGAGGGTGAAGCTCATCTCAGTTGATAAGGAAATTGATGGAGTTTAACACAAGAAACCTAGAATAAATGTGTTAGAAACTACAAAAGAATTAAGACTGGAGCTGAGGTTCACCTTCCAGCAGGACTAAACTCTAACCATTCCTCCACAGGTTAGGAATGGTTAGATCAAAACATATGTATGTTATTTAGAATTATCCTGACAAAGTTCAAAGTAAATTCAATCAGGAATCTGTAGCAAAACTTGAAAACTGATGTTCATAAATGCCCTCTATGAAATCTCAGTTAATTTGGAGAAGAGGCAGAAATTGCAGAACAAGTCATAACCCAAAAGACTTGGAGCTTTGCATGCAGTAAAAGATTACGTTTTTTTTTTCTCTTGTAAAAAACAAAGTGAAATAGATTCATTATTTTCTTTCCACTTGATATGTCTAGAGTACTTTGATATTGTTTTATCACATACAATCCCTGTAAATCACATTGAACTTAGTAGTTGAAATACAACAAAATGTAATAATTAAAGCGTATTCACACCTTCCTAAGTACTGGAGCCATACTAAGAACTTGATAAGAGCAATTCAATAATACTAATGCAGAAATTATACCAAACAAATTCCACCTTCACTCATTTTCTGGTGAAATTATTTCCATCTCGTGCTCCAAGCAAAACCAAGTTATTTGTGACAGCCATGCCATCTATTTACCTTGACATCTCCATGGTGTCCTTGGTGAGATAAACGATCCAGTAGACCAGGTTAAAGGCGCCAAACGAAAGGGGGAAAAGGATGCGTGAGTATTTGTCAATGATGCTGGTGCCTGTCAGGACGTTGTTGGCCGGAACTGCAGAGCCTTGCTGGAGGAACGCCTGGGCATTGACAGGAGGGTTTGGAAAAGTTTTTGCAGGGCGATCGAAAACCGGCGCAGAGTTCATCCTCTTCTTCAATACACTATTGGCATCCACCTTTAAGAGTAAAAGTAAATAAAAACTGGAAATGTAAAAAGAAAATTACAACAAAGATGCATTGATATGGTGTATTAAAGTTAAATTATTATCCTGTTTTACTTGGAGATTTACTGTTCAATAAATCAATTAATCTTTATTTATATGTCCTCTTTCTAACAGGCATGTCATGATGTTTCATTCAAACAACTCAACAACAAAAATGACTGCATGTATTACGCGATTTTATGTGCTTACACTCTTTATACTGTAGAAAAAAAAACACTTTTCTAACTTTTACTAAAATTAAAATTCCTCTTCCAAGATCGTGTCCATGCAGTTATGATCTAAAGCCAACAGGAGCATATGGTAAATTAAATAGGGTTGTAAAACTACAGAATCTCAAAAATATTATTTAGAAACATAGACACACACCCCACAGTCTTCTTTTTATTTTTGTGTTATTTTGCCAATTCTCTCTGTGTGCAGACTGAATTATTTTAAAGATACTCAGCACATAGACAAATGGTTATCCTATGGCTTATGAAATTTCAACTAATTATGATCACAATGCACACTCTCTGGCAATATTTGCTGTAAATCAGATACAATATGAGTGCAGGAAATATATCTAGGATCTAGGACAGGGTGTGCAAAGCTTCTTGCTGCAAATTAACACAGTCTAAAAAAAAAAAAACAATTCTGTGTGAAGCACAGAAACGTCACATCATGATGTTCCAGGGCGATTTCAATAAATCAAACAATCCTCTAAATTATTAAGATGATGATGCATAATAAGTAGTTCTGGGGGCGCAGAGAGAAATGATGTTTTTAAATTATGTAACAAATTCAACTCAGTTTCTCACTACGCTCAAATTCTGCAAAAATTTTTATGTCAATTCCATCAGTTTTGGAACTGAAGTGAACTTGCGATATTTTTGCTGGATTTGTTTAAATATTTCATTTTTCTCTTTGAGTTCAGAAACTGCTCAACAGAGAAAGTATTAGAAATACTATGTGCAAGCAGTTTATTTAAGAACAAATGATAAAACTTTTACAACAAAAATAGTAATACCTTTTTCTAATATTTAACAAAATAATCAATCCAATATAATCATAATTATAAGCTGATTTTTCTAAGAACTGTTTAGACAGTGCAGTTTGTGAGGTTAAGTAAATATACATATACGTGTGTGTGTGTGTGTGTGTGTGTGTGTGTGTGTGTGTGTGTGTGTGTGTGTGTGTGTGTGTGTGTGTGTGTGTGGTATTACATCTATGTAATAACTATTTTGAAACAACTATGCCCATGAAATTGTAGCACAGATTATTCAATAAAAGATGGCCTTTAAGATCTTTGTGGTTCAGTAGTTGTCATTACTTCAGGTACATTCTTGACCTGCCTAAACACAGATAAATGATCAGGTGGTGTTACTGTGTGTATGTATTAAAAATGACATGATATTAAAACATTTTTGGCTCTCACATATTAGATGGAGATTCTAAAATAAGAATTCATGAAAACGTGATATATGTTCGAAGTAAAACTTACAAAACTTTTCTTTTCTTTCCAGTCTTACCTGTCACAAAAAATTGGGAGGTTGGGACAAAAATATTATTTGAAAAACTTCACAGTCATACCAGGTATTTTACCTCATGACTGCATGACTTTTTCTATTCCTGGGGATTTTTTTGCTTCTCCATGTCATGAAGTCTTCCCTCCTACATATTTGGTGAAAGCAGTCATTTTCTATGATGCATTCCTCCTACTCTCTTTCTTCCTATTCTTCCAGTGTAACTCTATAACACAAATGCATACACCAACACATACCCAGGACCCACTCTAACCCATCTCTCCATCTTGTTTCATAAAAACGGAGTGGGCTTGCTTTCCAAGCCCCCTCCCATCTTTATTGCGGTGTCTGCCCTCTTTCCTCTGAGCTTGCAGTGATCTGCTGGATTTTCCTTAATCTACAGCTCTTACATAATCTGCAACAACATCATTTGCCGAGCCACTGGCTGTCCACTCATGTCACTCTCTGTGGTTATCACATAGTTACAGAGACAAATAGGAGACTGGGAGAGAGAGAGAGAGAGAAAGAGAGAGAGAGAGAGAGAGAGAGGGAGGGGGTGTTGAACAAATGAAATGATGGAGCAGACATAGTTTACTGTAGATTGCATAAATTAACGGACCTAGAGAGTGAAAAACTGTGGTGTTTTTATCAAAAGTTAAAGTTGGAGAGAATGATGAAAACCTGCATGTGTGCACAATAAATTAAATTAACCGTAACAAAGGACTTAAAAACACAGTCATAAAAAAACAGAAATAGCAGAATCTCTATTACAGTTGTAAGCTTCATTAAAACACAATGAAGAAGAAATGCTGGAGTGCATGTTCTGCATGCACATTTTTACATTGTGCACAGACCAATTGACTGCAAATAGAAGAATGATTGCACGGGGTATACTGGAACAAATTGTAGACTAGAAATGAACCACGGGGAAGACAAACTTAGGGTCAACTTTGCTTCTGAAGCATCTCTGGTCTGGAATACATTCATTCCACAAGACACAGGAAACACTGATCAGGAATCATTTTGATGTGACTGCTACAGATTGTTTTAGAACATTTTCATACTTCATATTTACATATATCCTAGATGTCCTTCCAGAAAATGCATTACAATTACACAATAAGTTTCATGACTTTACATGGCAACTGTGATAAATATGTGAAAAAAGCATAAAAAATAAATGACTACAACTGAGTTGTTTTTCAGTCAAATCCAATCCATCCAGCCTGGACTGAAGTAAATTTAAGTTGAAATTATGTTGTAGAAAAATGAATATAAAAATGAATATGAATATAACCTGCAAAATCAAAACCTGTGTTGGGATAGCCCAGTCAATAGCCAGACCAAAATGTAATTAGGAATCTGTCACAAGACTTAACACTTTATGTTCATTGATGTTCCTTGTGTTCAATTTTTAAAAAACTCACAAAGTCTGTAACAAATAAATATACCGATATGCAATGGTGTCTTACATATAACATGCAATTTGAACGTGTAAATTATATGTAATTACAACTGAAAAAGAAAATGAATCATCTATAAAAACTGAAAAAAAAGATAAAATCTGATTAAACAAATTATCCACGGAACAACTAATGGCTCCAGCTTCTATTTTAAACACGTGATTATTTGTAACTGTACTTAAATGTCAGCAACAAACGTCCTCATTCAATCATAGATTTCCTGGCGTCAGCAATCATGATGAGAGCAAAGACACTGTGACCAAATGCCCTTAAAATCTGTAATGCTGCATGAACATCAGAAATGAATTTGTGTTGTCCTATATACTACACTGCTCTCTTGTGACTGGACATTTCAATAATTAGACAAGTAAGCTGGTGTACCAGCCCTCTCTTACAGATGCAAAAACTGCAAACACTAACAAGTAAAGGCTATTAAACTCATCACTATAACAATATTTTTCCATGACAATCTGGATGTGAGATGTTATTACCTGGTTGAAGTAAGAGTATCCATGAGAAAACCAGGAACACCCAACATAAAACACACACACACACACACAAAACTCTATTTTAAACAGCTTCCACTTAACCACTAACTGCCAGATGGCTAAGTGGGGTAGACACACTGTAAGAGCTGACTATTTACCACAAAATGCCGACAGCCAGTTGGCCTTTAAAAGGAACAAACCAATCTCATCCATCAAAACATCCACAACAATGCTTTAGAAGTATATAATGGGGAGACGCAAGCACAGGCAAAGCTCAGTGGTCTCTACACAAAAAACAGAATCTCTTAGAGGTTGAATGAAGCTATTTCTCAAAAAATACACTAAAGATAAAATCCCTACACCCATCTGAGCCGAGCTCCATAACCCCTGTTGATGTTGTATAACCACAAACGGTAACTGCAAGTCTGGGAAAAGCTGCTAACAATGTGTGATGATTTGGCAAGAGAAAGAAAACTCCACTCACAAAGGGACAAACCCCCCCAAAAAACTGTCATCGTAGATTTGTATTTACCAAGAAGAACAGCACATCTGTGAAATTAAACCAGTTAAGGTTTTTTTCACACATTTTTATGATTTTTACCATGAGAAGTAACACATTCATATTCACAAGAAAGGTGTTGCTTCAAAGTTACTTATTTGGAATCGATGCATAATCATCAATGTTGTTTATACTTTATACTGTTTTATTCCATCCTGTCAAAATGTGGTTTCAGTAAAACAAGCAGAAGTTAGAAAATTACAGAGTTTAAACTGTTTTTGCATTAAGACGAAGAGAAACATCCCTAGGCAACTAATGCAAGCATGTTGAAATAAACCAATGATGCAATAGAACCAACTAAAAAATGGCAACGTTAATGCAGAATTCTTGAATCACTTCTCAGGCAAACAGCAAGTTTTTAAAATCATTTGTCAGTGGTCTTAAAGTATTTTTTAAGTTTTCATATATTTTTAAACACTGTTTACGAGTTATTTTACTGGCCTTTTGGAACTATTTGTTTTTTACTTCAATATGCACTTCTTGGACATGACATGTTGCAATAAAATGTTTTCTTTTTAGTTTTTGAGCAACTTAGTACTGTCAAAACAATCCTCATGGCATGAATATGTCCCCAACTCAACTGATGGACTAGTGTTGTGTTTACACATCAAAAATAATGTGTATTTTAAAATAGTTTATCTACAATAAGTGTCCACCACACATATTTGCACCCCAGGTAACATGCCGTTTGCTAAACAATTCTTTAACAGTAACTGGGAGCCTTGTAAAGTTTATCATGATAAGTATCTACAGCCATTTTCTCTGTGAATGATCGTGGGTCTAACATAAAGCAATGGAAGAAGGAATATGTGAAGAATAAGGCCACTGCTAAGGATGGGAGATGATATGCAATGCAATGGAGGGGTTTTTCATTCAAAAGTCATAGGAACCTTGAGTGCATTTATGCTTTAAAAAACCAGAAACATGTTTTTTTTATTATTATTGGTCAGATTTTTAGCTGGTTTGTTGGAGCAGAGACACATCTGAAACTTGTTGGACAGAGGCTATAAAACATGCATTTAAAGATCCCTGCTCTGTGGTAATCTGAAGAGAAAAGAGCATAACAGATCATCAGGATTCTGAATGAACTTGAGGATTTTTGTGCAAGGACAAAAGCTCCCACTCTAACAGTGATCCAATCATGCAAAATATTAAGAGGAGACATAAAATGCAGTCTCTGTGGGAAAAGAGCTTTTTACAAAGAATTACCAGCAGGAGTACCACTGTATGGCAACAGTAATTTTATGAAAAACTGCAGTTTCTTAACATATAACTATTATTCCTGACAGATTAAATTTACTGTGTAATTATTCCTTTACAAAGGAAGTCACTCCAGTAAAGGATTTATTTTAAGGGTTTTAACACTTCCACTTTGTCAATAGCATATTTTAGCTGAAAACATAATTTGTTTCTCTTTATTCATCTTTTTTTTCCAGAGTGCCTGTCCTGTTTTTCATGTAATTGTTAGTTTGTGTTGAAATATTAGTTATTACCTTGTTTCTGGCAGTTGACCAACATAGTCAAAGCTTCAAAACTGAAGTCTTACAAAATGTACAGTAAGTAAAAACACAAGCCATCCTAATTTTTAGGAACTCCCTTCTCATTTACAAGAAGAAGAAAAAAACCCAGAAATGTTCACTTCAGTGGAGATTAATGACGACAGGTACAGGCATGTAATTAGGCCAAGGAAAGTCCTATTTTTCACAAAGAACCATCTGCTCTGATCATCATTTATAACAGCAGCTCTATCGTTTAGATGAATGTTCACATGTAACCATAACACCTTATAAGGACTCATATTCCCATATGAGTCAAAATATAATATGCACATAAAATGCATATGCTTTCAATAACCACAAAAAAAGTATTTTGTAGTTATCAACACAAGGCCATGTGACCCATCCTTATCTGGTACAGTTTAAGCATTAGCTCACATGTCATTGAACATATGCTGACACATGTAAACACCAGTGGGATAGCGTATGCCTGACTTACTGAAGCAACGTCTCCCTCTGTCCCTGTGCTTGCTGCTGGAACCACGGCTGCAGCTGCTGCTGCTTCTTGAGCGGCTGCCTTTATGGCTGCTGCCTTTCGCAGCTCTCGGTTGGCTTGGAGTGTTGAAAAGTAGTTGACAGCCGCAAACTCAATGAGGGCAGAGAAGACGAAGGCAAAGCACACAGCAATGAACCAATCCATCGCGGTGGCATACGAAACTTTTGGGAGGGAGTGCCGTGCACTGATGCTTAATGTTGTCATGGTCAGGACAGTGGTGATGCCTAAAAACAAAGATGAGAAGAAGTTCAGAACACGGATCTGCTCAAGGTTTCATATTCATACCTCACGACATGAAAGGCTGTTGACCATGTCATCTCAGTTTATCAGTATCTTCAATTAAACATTAACTCTTTTTATTGATATATATCCATTCATTTGCTGCCCTCTAGTTTTTCAAGGTCGGGTTGTTGGGGAAATCCAGACATCCAGACACTCTTGTCACGCTCTTGCCCACAGGAATAAACATCCACAAATATCTTTGCATCTTTCAGCCATTTCTGATTTTGCTCCAGGGCCTCTCCTCAATAATAAGTCCCCAAAAAACTCTTTAAAGAGAGGGGTCCATTTGGATGACCGCACAACAATAGCTAACTCCTTTGGATTAAATGTAGCAGCAGGTCTTGACTGGATGAAGTAGTTTATTATAAAATTATTTATGTGATGTTCCAAAATCAAGTTGTTTTAATTCAACCAGTAATGGTGGAAAATAATAAAACTGCAATGAGTAATATTTTTTTTCAGTGTGGCCATTTTTTAAAATAAATTCCAGCAGCTGTCCCTTTAAAGTTCTCAAATGTCCAAGCTCCGCTGGATTCCAGAGTGACATATTTGTGGTGGACATGCAGCTTGGTCACTGCTTAGATTAACAAGCCAAACTGACACAGTGTACAGACGAAAACAAATGGACTCCAAGGAAATTTGATGTAATGCAACAAATGATAATCCAATTTCTGTAATATCCTCAGTCTTTGTAACAGGGATGTCACTTTTCGTCACTGTATTCTATTCCAAGATATTAAATAAAATAATGAAATAATCTGGTTTGCTTTTTATAAAATGAATAAATGAATAAGTAGAAAACATGTTACACTTTGAAGAAAAAACTAACATTTAAAGAAAATCTGGTAACACTTTATTTGAAAGGGGGGTGAATAAGGCTGACATGACACTTTCATAAACATGACGTAACACATGAATAAGCCTTCATGAATATTTATGACTGTTGTCATAAAGCGTCATTTGGTAAATTAGGACACTTTTAATACAAAGTTGACATTATTCAAAATGTCTTTGTTATGACAACTTGACATTAACCAAGAAATCATTACTGTTTCAACTTTACCTTTAATAACATAAAGTTACCTAATTTTTAAAGTGAAATCAGTAATACTTTTATAACAAATTTATATCAGTAATGTTTATGTTTATGACGGTGTCATGACAGTCTTATTCACCCCATTCTAATTTTGACAGATGGCACGACGTACCACCATGCGAAGGCAGTGTAAACACTATATTTGACTGTAATGGGTAAGTATTTACTGTGGAGTCCATTGTGTGGCAGAGCGGAGAAGCAGCAGAGGTCAGCATCTCGACATTAGGAGCTGGTTCATACCCGCAAGAAAACTTTTATTTCTTTGTCTATTGTCTGAATGTAAAGTGAAATATGCACATTTCATATATATATATATATATATTGGTCTATACATTGGGAAGTAACTTTCCCCAGTCCATTACTTTATTATGTTAAAGGTGCTAATAATGAAGGACTTTTTTGAGAGCCCATTAGCAAAGTACATATCTAATTCACTTTCATCCAGCTAAAGCAAGCAAGAGAAAAAGGACCATTGAACATTCCTGCCTGCATTTCACCAAATGTGTGCTTTAGTTGCGCACATTTCATTAGCCGCTTTGGGATTCGTGTAGAGGTTTAATGCACCTCATAATGTTTTAAAAGCATTCTCTGTAAGCTTAAACAGTAAAGGCTAACAACTCTCAAATGCAGCCCCCTTTGGCAGTCAACCAGTAGTGACTGTCTCTATCACAAAGAAGGGGGGACATGGGAAGAAAGGCTGTCATGGTGGGTGGGAGAGGCAACAGAATGGGAACGAAAAAGTGTGGGAGGGGGAAGAAGTAGAGAGACAGGATACAAATTAAACGCTTGGGGCATTTATGTGCTTTTACAGCGAAAAAAGTAAGGTACAATTTAGGCCATACTCAATTAAGTCTGTATAACCTGGGCTCAGGGGACTCTCAGCGCTTGCAGAGGTTGTTGACAAGCAGGCCTCTGCTCTACTCCCTTCCCCTCTTTTATCTTCCCTTCAATGGGCCATCATAAATATGAACAAAACTACCATGGAAGTGGCTTTCTTTATGGTCTTTCAAGTACAAAAGCATTGTGTCATTACAGAATTTTAAGAGTGCACAATGGGAAACTTAATGTTTGAATATCCAAATATGAAAAAAAACAATTTGTAAATAATCTACAACCAAAAAATGGTTGTGCAAGACTTTGAAGTTCCCCAACCCTCATGCCCGAGTTCGAGGAGCAGCCTTGTCAATTTACTCCCTTTTCTAACCTCTGGCTTAAGTAAAGGAAATGGATTACACAAAATATTTTTTAAAATGTGATGTGTGTAAAAATATATATTTTTTTCTATTTTTGTTTTTGTTTTATTGGTATACTAATGGGAACTGGAGAGTGTATCAACTATATGTCTCAATCTCATAAGAAAAGTTTGGTGTAGAGCAGTGACAACAAACTTCATAAATAATAACACTATTAATGAAATAAGTACCATATTTTCCAGACTATAAGCCTCAGAT